GGCACATAGGTATTCTCAATGGACAGCAGACGACTGGAAAAAAGTAGTATTCTCCGACGAACCGCATTTTGAAGTCCATGGCTACAGGTCAAAGTTTGTGAGACGAAGCAAAGGTGAACCGCTTCGGTCAGGACACATTCAACAAGCACCCAAACATCTGCTTAAGAAGATGTTTTGGGGTAGTTTTAGTGCTAAAGGCCTTGGACGACTCATTAACGTAGAGGGAATGATGAATAATGATAAATACAAGGCTATTTTGGAGACTCATTTGCTTCCTAGTATGACAAGCGACTTTCCTGATAAAGATTGCGTTTTTCAGCAGGATCACGCACTATGCCATACTTCACGTAAAATGCGCACATTCTTTGAAGAAAGTGGACTGGAGACTTCAGACTGGCCTGGAAATTCTCCAGACATCAACCCCATTGAAAACTTATGGGCTATAATCAAACAAAGACTCCTGAAAGAAGACTGTTCGACAATGGCAAAGCTAATTAGTGCTGTAATTAGGACCTGGTGTCATGATGAGCAAGTGACTAAAATGTGTTCAACTTTGGTCAAATTCATGCCAAATCGTGTTCAAATGCTTGTAAAAGCAAAAGGAGGTCATATCTCCTATTACTTATATCATATTTTGTACCATTGGCATGTTTTTTTTTTTAATAAAACTTCAATGTGGCAAATAATTGTGTTATTTCAACCACTGTTCAAACTAATTTGCACAATACTGTACTTATTATATTTGATTAGCTGCTAATCAAATAAAATTGAATGCTAAATGGCTGCTAAATAAATTTGACTGCTATATAAAATCAACATAATTGATTAACATATTTAATTAGCTACTTTTTTGATATCATTTTGTCATTTGATAGAATTATTCGTAATTTTATTACTTTTGATACCAAATAATGGTATATAAATATCAATTAAGTTTTATAAGTTTTTATGAGACTATGCATTATTATAAAAAAATGAAATATTGCTTGATGATATGACCTAGAAAAATTATTTAGGGGTATGATTATACTATCATTAGTGGTTACTGGGATATAAATACCTAAAGCTGGTTACACTATCTGTGGAAGAAAACCCATTTTCAAATTTGCATTAAACCGCATCAAAAAAACTACAATATATTTAACTCTAGAGCAAAATTTAATTTTAACTTTTACTTTAATCCACTTCATAAATTTTGAAAGGTGGTGTTAAAAAAGTTGTCTTAAGAAGAAAATTTTAAAAATGGTTGAATTTTTTTAGTTTGAAAAAAAATGTACAAGTTATCTGTGCTAAAAAAATTTAAAAAATTGAAATTGCTTTTTTATAAAGTATTATGATAAAATTCTGGGAAAAAAGCTTGAGCATTAGTTGTTCAATCCACAAATTCACAAATTTTTTTTTTATAGATTTGGTATCTGAATTAACACAAAATATGTCAAATCAAGCAAAAAACTATGAGGAGTACAGGAAGACTGTTTGCTTCTTGTATCTTGGCAAGATTAGTGTCTCTTTAATCAGCTTCATTGCAAAAAAAGTGCAACATAGAATAGACTAAAATGATCCATGAGTCCCAACTGCAGGCTTGGTCGGGAAGCGGGTGCGATCGCACTCGATAACTGACCACGGAAATAATATTTAGTTGCGAAAAACCGGCAAGATTTTTAGTTGTTTTGAGAATATTTAAGTTTATGTATGTTTCCTTGTTTGTCCGCAAAATAATAAGTTCATCTTATCGTAAATTTTAAAATCTTTTGTTTTACGGACTTAAATGGAAACATACATAAACTTGAATGTTCTCAAACATCTTAGTGTCGAAAAATAAAAAAAGAATATTCGCTAACACAAAAAACCCACCAAATCTACAAACAACTAATTCTATTGGTTCAAAAAATACTAACCGAATGTCCTGAGTTTTCTGTTGCAAAATTTACAAAAATTGTATTTTTCGAATTTTGTTGTGTTTTTGTTGAGATTTCTAGCATAAATCATTTTAAGAATATACAATTAAACAAACTATTATTTTAATTCTTGGAGCCACATCTACCAAGCTATAAATGTTTTAAACTAACATTATTTGGTTACAATAATAAATGTTTTAAATTTATATTTTTTAACTTGTCAACGTTTTGTAAATATATTACAGGTTTTTATTAGTATATTCTTATTTTTTATATATAAGGGATGTATTTTTTATGTATGTAATGTATTTTTATGTATGTAATGTATTTTTAATTCTGTAGTTTAATGTATGTGTATTTTATTCAAATGTAATCTTTTAAAGCAATTTGTGCTATTGATTTTGTAAACAAAAATACTTTCAACAATAACTGCATTTTCAATGAAATTATTAATAATCGTCAAAATTAATACAGAAAATTTTAACCACTAATCCATTTTCCTCAGTGTACCCGATAACTGATTCTTTCTCCAAAGAAAGAAAAGTTTTTAAGTTCTTAGAAATAGGTTTACTAATTTCAATTATTTTTGCTTCATCCATTCTTACAAACTCGTTATACTTAAAGTTACTTTTTCTGTTTTAAATACTAATTAAAATTATAAAGCCCACTCACTAAACATCACCAGCGGTGTTTAAAGCAGTTCCGCTTCCTCCTCACAAAGTAACTTAACATTTTTAGTTAATTTCTATCTAGCTAATTAAATTTCTACAGTAACTCAATGATATAATTATTTCATTTGTTTGTCTTACTAAGAAGAATTGTTTCAAATGTGTTGAAATTTTTAAACTACGCGAAGCATAAAACACTTATTGAAAAAACGTTTTTATTTATAAATAAATCATCTGGTTGAATCTTGTTGGACTCTTCAGGGCTGGGGGCTGCGTTATTTTGGCGGCCTTTTTATGTGCCACAGAATCAAAATGACTAAAAAAAATACCGAATAGTCCTCTTGACTATTTCCCCTAACACTGTGAATCCCGGGGCTATAACCCTACTACCCCCAACTCACCTCCTGAATCCAGCACTGGAAATAAGACATAAGTATATAAATAAAAATTATATATACTCTTTGACAAATCGAAGAACATTTGTTTCTTTATAGTTGTTACTTTATATAAAAAATGTCGCTTAATTTTATAAAAAAAAGTTATAAAAAAGTGGCGTTTTAAAAATAATTGCTATAATAAATTTATTTTGCTTAAAGTTTTTTCGCGTTAAAAGCTATTTTTCTTTTTTTAACTGTCTCTCATTAGTCCAGTTAATCTTAATGCGCTTTTTTGTTTGTTTTTGAAATGTTCTCAAAACGACTAAAAAATCTGGCCGGTTTTTCGCAACTAAATATTTCCATGGTTAATTATCGAGTGCAATCGCACTCGTTTCCCAACCAAGCCTGCAACTGGCATTTGTGAGCGTTGCTGCTCCAACCTTAGGAGGCTTGAGGAGGGAAAGTTTTAAACCCAACCACAGCTGTTTGCTTCTTCACTACCAAAGCCTATCCTGTTACAAGAGATACAGTTAGTGATTGTTTGATTTGTTCAGTTGGCAAAACAAAGCATAACTCTCTGCATCCAGTATTGGAAATCCAGAAACCTCAAGCAAACCAGAACTCAGTTAAAAGAGATGTTTTCAATGCTTTTCAATTGTTGGCAAGGGTCTCCCACCCTTGCCATAAATGCTTAAAATTTACCTTGCAAAAAAATTTAGCAGATGTCATATCGTAGGACTCTGTGGCAGCTGAAAGAGTTACAGCATCAGTCATTGCCAACAAGGAAGCTTTCCATGGAACAGTTTGTCTTAGAAGACCTATAGGAATAGGAGGCTACCTTACACCCAATTCATAGTCTCTTATTTATAACTTCACCACCATTCCTCAAGTCCTATCATTCATGAATCCTCATGTCCTGTCATCAACTATGTTTCACAATCCATACAATGCCACAAAAGCTCTTGAGAAATTTTTTGAGAGCAAGCAACTGAAGCATTCCATCATCTTTTCAGTACCCATTGGCAAAGGTACAAGAGACCAAATAATTACCCAGAGACAGGCTGCAAAGATGCATCACAGACAGCAAAAATATTGATTAGAAATATTACAAATCAGTTTAGATGTTTTTCTCAAGAAAAACAATTAGAATTGAAGTTTTAATTTGTCAGAATTAAAAAAAATTGTTATTTACCAGTGAATTTACTGCATAAATATTTTTGTTGTGTTTTTGGGATGAATAAAAGTTCTTGAAACCAACTTTGTTAGTTGCTTATCAACTATGTATTTAATGTGATTCTATGCAAATTTTGAAAATGGATTCATTACTTTCATATTGCTATATATGTTTAAATATATGTTTGTAAGTAATAATAATATGTTTGTAACCGGGTTGGCTCTTAGTTGACAAACTATAAAATACTGTTTTTGCACTCCTTACATTTTTTTTTAACTTTCCAGATCTTGAATGACATTGGATACCGCCTGTTGTTTGAAATATTTAAAGAGTATTTATTGACATAATTCTTTAAAATTTTTATTCATTTCAGTACTTCTCTGTTACTAATCATGGAGCAATTTATTATTTGTCACTTAGTTGCTTTTCTTACTGCTCTTTGACCTATTTTTCTGTTTTTTAACTTTTTTCAAAATACTTAAAAAGGTTTTAAAACAATTAAATTTTTTTAAAATAAACATCTGTTCAAAATATCTTTTTAATTTAATTTTTTTTATCCTTTCTCTTTTCCTAATTTTTTTCTTATTTCACTTAGGCTTGACGGTTTGATCTAATCCTTTGATGCATATTTTTACATTCTTTTAAACAATCATAAATTATCAAAATTATTAAACAAATATATAAACTATTTAAATAATTATGAAAAATTGTCAATATCAATTAAAAATAAATAAATTTAAAATTCTTATTTTCTTTTTAGATATAATTTTATGCAAATTTTCTTTGAAATGCTCTGTTAAAATAATGCAATTATCCAATTAAAATTGAAAATAAATCATACGACAACTTAATTATCAACATAATTTAAAAAATGATTACTTACAGTGTTTCAACTTTATCCAAACCCTGAAATACACCATTATCAATAGATTTTATATAATTTGTGAACAAGTACCTATAAAGATTTTAAAAAGTTTGAATGTTAAGTATTTGCAATATATATTTGAATGTTAAGTATTTGTAATATATATTTGAATGTTAAGTATTTGCAATATTTGTAATATTTATTAACAATATCCACATAAAATTTTTCTATTTAAAATATTTATATATAATCATTTCTTTTTTAATTAAATTTTTATTCTACTTTTAATAACTTTTAAACTTATTATTTTTTTATTTTTTTTTTATTTGGGCAATTCAATGTGAAAACATTCAATTTTTTTATGCAAGTTTTTTTTAATGCAACTCTAAGTTTCAGATTTTGCTAATTTTTACACCACTCAAAGATTTTTATAAGTTATCAACATTTCCCAAAATTTTATAATCTAACTCCTAATTTAATAATAAATAATATTCCAAACAGTTTCAAAGATATGACTATTTAAACTCTTGAACCAACAAAAATCCACCATTTTGAAAAATAGTTTTGGTCTTTGTTTTTGTTCTCTGTGCAATGGAAAACTGAAAATGAGTAGTCTTACATATTTCGAGGCAAAGAATCCAATAAAACAACTTAAAATATTTAAAAATAAACGTAACACCTGTAATTTTGACCTTTATTACAATTTTACTGGGGCAAGATTAATTACAAAAATGCTGATGTAACTCTATGTTTTTTACATGTTGTTTTGAATAGTTTAGTTAGAGTTGTTACAAAGAATTGGAGAGAGGTCTTTTCTTAAACAGAAAAAAAAAAACATGGTCATGTTTACATAAAATTTGTACTTATAAAACAGGAATTATAACAAATAAAAGGAAAAAAAAAGTGGTACTCCTAAATGCTTTATACACAGAAGTTGATGTTTAATAATTTTTGGAAAATTTTCCCACCCACCTTGAGCTTAGACTAAGAGCTAAGACTAGCTAAGCTAAGAGCTTAGACTAAGACACCTTCCCGCCATTAATTAAATTTTACTCAAGGATGTGGAGTCTCTAAAAAGATTTGAAAGTAACAAAAAGATTACTTATCCCAAGTTTTTAGTATCCAGGAGCTCTAAAAATATAAAAAAGCTTATGGACTATTAATGCGAATAAAATTAAAACTTTTAGTTTTTGAACCCAGAGTCAATTTTTTCTTTTGCAGATCATAAAACAATCATTATGTTTAGAGCTTCTGGACACCAGAGACCATAAAAAAATAGAGATATAAAGCCGGAGTCTTTTTAGGACTCCGCATCCCAGATTTTACTTGTTATGAACAAAAACGGATTTGAGAATTATGGATAGATTGAATCCTTAGTGAGAAAGTGGCAAGCACGATAAAACCTTGGCATATGCTAATTTTGTAATGAATTTGATATATGGTTTCCAAGAAAGATCAAATGTAAGAGTTAATTCTAGAAGTCTAAGGGTCGATCACTAATTGAGTACATTACTGTTATTAAATATAGGAACATCTAGATTGTTGCGATAACAATTAGCTAAAAAATATTGTTTTATTTGAGTTAAACTTCACCAGCTACTGAGAGCCCCATGCTGTAGCAGAAGTGAGATCCTTTTCAAGCTCAAAGCCCCCTAAAAGCAATCAGAGTGTTAGCTTCTTATCAAAACAAGAATAAATGGTAGTATCATCAGCAAGCAATACCAACTTAGACGTGAGAATTTCTGGGAGATTGTTAATGTAAATTAAAAAGAGTAAAGGGCCAAAGATAGAACTGTGGGGAAACCCTGAAGTTACAGGATACCAAGAAGAGTGTTGTTTATCAAGAACAACTTTAATACTACAATTGGCAAGGAAGGATTCAATAATCTTAAAGATGTTATCTGATATACAATAATGTTACATTTATTTCAGAATGACGGCTTTAACTCCAACATCGATTCGTCGCTAATTGCTAATTTTCATTTACTTGCACTATCGGCTTACTAATTATAAATTATAATTAATACTAAATATTAAATTAAAAATATTAAATATTAATAACTATAAATAAAAAGAGAATGATTTCATAAACAAGCAATAACTAAAACGTTTAATAAACAATATTTGTATGCCTCTTTTAAATAGACTTTACTTAGAGTATTTATTGCATAAAAAGGTCAATTCATTCAAAAATTTAATTACTTCATTCAAAAATTAATAACTTTTTTTTTCTAGTTCTACTCTTACTTTTCAAATCAAGTTTTTATGGCGTGAATATTAAAATGTTATTATGTTTTAAAAACTTACATTTGTTTTATTATTTAAAATATTTTTAATACAATTTTACTGTTATTTAAAATGAAAAAGTTTAAAGCTCATATAGTTTAATCTGGTTAAAATAATGCATTATTAAAAAAAAATTCCGGATGTAGTTAAATTTATAAGTTACATATATAATTATTATATTATATAAGTGCTGCAACATCAACTGAGAAAAAGCCTGACTCGCAACGGAGTGCTGCTACATCGACTGAAAAATAGCCTGACTCACAACAGAGTGCTGCTACATCAACTGAGGGTTAGGTTTGGGCAGGCAGTCTATCAAATAATTAAAAAAAAAAATTATTATGCTTAATATAATGCATTAAAATAATTTTTTTTTGGCAGATGTAGTTAGATCCGAAAAAAATCATATGCATAACTACATCTGGTTAAAATTATGCATTAAAAAAAAAAAAAAAATTTGGATGTAGTTACATCCGAAAAATCTACAGATGTAGTTGCAGGGATGTTATTATACATAAATGAAATTTGGGATGTTATTGCACGGATGTTAGTATACATCAATGAAATTTGGGATGTTGTTGCACCGATGTTATTATACATCGATGAAATTGCAAATGTTGTTTCACGGATGTTATTATACATGACAAAAACAGATGTTATTGCCCTGACTCGTTTTTCAAAAGTTGGTTTTTCTAAGCGACATTATTATCATAACATATGCTAATATAAAATTGTTTTAAATTGAGTTTGGGCTGAGATTTGGGGGCCCATACCGGTATACTGGTATCAAAATCGGCCTGGATACGTTGCTGAGTCATATATTTGAAACCATTTAGAATTGGATGATAAAATTTTAGGAGTATTCATAACATATTAAAATCTTTGAGTGGTGGAAAAATCTGAAATATCTGAGAAAAAATATAAAAATTTAAGTAATAAAATATAAAGTAATAAAAATATAAAAATATAAAAAAAAAAAGTAAAAATATAAAAATCTGAGCAAAATTGGAACCCTGGATGTTTTCTAAGGGTTGCGTACCCTGGATACTTTCTAAGGGTTGCGTACCCTGGATGTTTTTTAAGGGTTGCGTACCCTGGATACTTTCTAAGGTTGCATACCCTGTGGATGTTTTCACACAGAATTTATCAGTAATTGTCAAGGACTTATTTTTACACTTTTTACATTATAAACACATTTTTTATAAACATTTATAGACATTTTTGCGTAAATTTTTGCAGATCCAAATCATTGAGTAAATATTTGCAAATCAAAATAGAGAATAAAATTAATTTTCTAGTTTACTTTCCAAAAAATAAAAAAATATAAAAAAATAAAGTAAATATTACAGGCGGCGCAGATTTTTTAAACTTGAAAATGTTCCATTTTCAAAAAAAGTTAATCGGTTTGAATGAAGAGATCTAAAAAACAATTTTAAAAATAAATAGCAAAAAAATAATAAAGTAAAAATAAAAAAACTGTGAAAAGAAAAGAAATAATTATTTTTTTTTTTTTAATTAAAAAAACTTACAATTCAGTGAGCTTTTGCAACCCATTGAAAGCATCTTTATGAATCTTTGATATAAAATTTTTGTATAAAAATCTAAAACCATAAAAAAACAATAAAGTTTAACTAAGAATAATAGCAAAAAAAGATTTAAACAATTAAATATTTATATAAATATAAAACAAAAAGAATATAACAAAAAGCTTACTAAACCTAAATGGTATTGGTTATAAATTTAATTTTACTTTTTTTTTTTGTCATCAATATTGTTCAAATTTTATTAACGCAGTAAATTTTTATTGGTAAATCTCAATTAAAAGCAATAAAATAATAAATAGTTAATTACAAATAATTAATAAATTAATAAACAATAAATTATCATGATAATCTAACACTAAAAAAAATTATCATAATCAAACATCAAAATAAGTTATCATGATAATCAAACATTAAAATAAATAAGTTATCATGATACCATGATTAACAGATAAAATAAACAATAAAATAACTTACAATTCTCGTAAGTGTTTGTACTTTGTAAAACTATTGGCTGGCAATTCAGTAATGAAATTTTCATTTAGTACTCTAAAAATTTTATATTTTTTAATCAAATATATAACATCAAAGAAAACTATAAACATTGTCTAATATAAAGCCTGTAAAATAAAGCAAATAGAAAAAATTTACTATAAAAACAAAATAATTCTAGTCTAATAATGATGTGTGATAATAAAACGCAGTTTAGTTAAATACATTTAAATTGCTATAAAAATTATTTTATGTTTCACTGGAAATGCAAATTATTGTTATCACTATAAAATAATATTATAACCTATTAAAGTAAAAAAAAATAGTAACATATAAAAACATATGTAAATAACTGCTAAGAAAAACAAACAAAAAACTCAAAAAAACAAAACAAAAAAAATCAGTTTATTCTTATTAAAAGAATTTTTATTCATTTCAGGATTTAAAAGTATCTTTACCATTTTTGTAGTTGGGAAAAATAAACTACGATTTTGGATATTCTGCCATACAATTTAAGGAAATACCTAATTGGTTGTACCTTTTTGATCAGATGGCAATTTCAACTCATAACCAATTAAATGACTTTTTTTGAAGTATTTATTGAGATAGCATCCTTTAAATTTATAAAAATTATAAATAAAATATTTTTAAATATTCAAATTAAACTATTAGTTTACCTTGTACATGTACAGATACACAAAACTGTAAGTTTTAGTTGGTCAAAAACTTAAAAACAATATGACCAACATGCTACCATTATTGTTAAATTTAGTAAAAATTAATTTTTTGGTAATAGTTTACTCAGAAAAAGTTTGCAATAAATTAAGCAAGTAAAATAATAAAGATTTTGGTAAATAATGGGGAGTGGGTAAATCTAAATTTGATTTACATTTACATTTTATTTTAAATATAAACTATTTGAAAAAGTTTCTTTAAAGATAATCTTTGTTGATATTTTGCACAATGACAATCAAATAAAAACCAAACAATATAACTGCATATATTAAAAATTTAGTCCATTAAATAATCAGTTTGTCCATAAATATTGTCTATCGGGACGATTGAAAAAGCACAAATTTCATAAGTACAAACTGGCATAAGTACGCCAAAATAATTTGTAAACATTGGGCTGAATAAACTTGCAAACATTGGAAAACGTGCGAATTGGCATAAGTGAAAACTGACAAGTGCGAACTGACACAAGTGCGAACTGACATAAGTGCGAACTGACATAAGTGCAAAGCAGTTGCAAAAACTGGCATAAAAGCGAATTTGCATAAGTGCATCAAATAAACTTACAAAAATTGGTATAAGTACAAATAGGCGTAAGTGCAAAATGTTAATATGGAATTATGTTAATATTTGCAATTTTATTTGGCGCACTTATGCCAATTCGCACTTAAATTTAAACAGCGAACCATCTAAAATCTTCTGCATTAGTAAAGTATAGAAATGATACAAATATCTCAGAAGAAATATAGGCCTAAAAAACCAAAACATACAGTCTCTTATAAAATGGAAAATTATTTAACATTGTGAACCCTACAACCTAACAACAAAAATGTGCCACTATTGTATCTACAAAAAGTGTAATCAAATCACATTTTATTTGTGGTAAACAAAATCTAAGTGTCGACAAAAAAATTGTTACAATCTTTAATAGAGGCTAGTAAGATTTTTGTTTTATTTTTTACTTAGATTTATCTGAACTCATTCTGCAGTAACTTAATGTTTTAGTTTACAGTTTGTTTACATTTTTTGTTTGTATTTATGGCTGATAATTGAGCAGTTAGGTCAGCATTTAGCAATGCCAACTTTGGAAGGTTTAAGTTTGGCAAAAAATCACCGAACTTATTTCTATGTTTTATGGTATAACCTTTGTATCTAATTTTTTAATATTTGTACCTGATGTTGTCCTCTAAAAGATTAAAATCGCAAATTTATTGCCACTCTCTTTTTCCTAATTCCATGGGCTGAATATTAGTAAGTGACCAGGTGTATATTAGCAAGTGCAAAAAGTCTCATTTTTAGACAGTTAAAAATGAGACTTTTTGCAAACCCATGCCCCGGCCCGGGCAAATTTATAAGATTTAGCAGGGGTTGATAGCCATGGCTAGAAAAAAATTTATAATACTTAATTTATTATAATTTTATGCTTAGATTTACTATTTATTAAATAATGGCATACATTTATATTATTTTAAACTATTATGTTATGAGTTACTTTAAAATGGAGAATAAGTAAAAATACTAGGAAATGGTTAAATGATGACTTAAAAAGTTGTTAGTTGTATAAAAAAGGAAAACATGAAGATAGGTGAGAGTTAAAAGGTTTTTTTGATGTTCAAGGAAAAAAAACTGGATTAAAAAAAGTTTTTAAAACATGAAGGGACAGATATAGTAAAAAAATGCAACTTGTTGAACAAAAAGACAAGCAAGAATGAGTTTTGGTTTAACGTGATAGAGATGATAGCTTGTTTAAGCATTGACCATGATTGTATTTGTAGAAAAAAGAAAAAAATTCAACCTTAAAATTGGAGAGTGGCTCAAGTTTGGCAGATAAAGCAGGTATAATTGCATTTACAAGGTTTTTTTATTTTTTTTCTGAAATTGGGTTGTTATTTGTCAATATATGAATGCCAACAATATTACAATATTTTTTTGCAGTAAATAAATGAGTTTTGTTGTCGAACAAAAATTGTGGATTTTAAGTCCAGAATTTAAATCCATAAGCCACTGCAAGCCTTAATTACAGAAGAGAGATCAGATTTAAAATCAGCTGCTTGTTCTAAACAATTAAAAATGAAGATTTTTAGTCAAGACAATAGTGATAAGTTGAGTCGTCAGCAAATAGAGCCTAGAACTCATGAAGATCGTTATTGTAGATAAGAAACAATACAGGAGCAAAGATAGAACCTTGTGGTACCCTTAAAGTTATTGAAATAAATAAGAGGGTAGGCCTTTAAGAATAACTTTACTACAGCAGGAAATAATTTAATAAACTTAAAACCATTATATAAAGAAACTCATAACAGAATGAAGACTAATAGTAGGACAGTTGGAGAGGTCTAAGTATTTTCTTGAGTTTTGGAAAATGGGAACCACTTATTTAGCACTTTTTTAAAGTTTAGCAAAAATTGAAGAGTGTTCTGGAGAATTCCACTTTTTTAAGACTATTATTGAAATCTATTTTAGATCACAAACCGTAGAAGTGTTTAATTGAGAATTAACTTTAGCATTGAAAGTCAGAGTAATTTCGATGTTTAACAATGGGTTAATCTGTTTAACTGTCAGGAAGAGTATGGCCATTATATTCAAGAGCCAAATTAGAGTTATATATAATTTTAAACAGAAAAAAAATGTTGTATCGAATAACGTTTGTTAGAAAATAATAAAGTTATTTAGATATCACTATGTAGAGTGGTAGCAGCTTTAGTAGAAAATGGTTTTGGTAGAAGTAAGAAAACTTAAAGATAGTGCCTCACATTTGTATAAATGAGATTTTGTTAAGGAAAAAAAATGATATAGATTGTTTGAGTTTGAGAAACAGCATAAAAGAGGAAGACTAAACCCTGATGATAATGATGATGATGATCATCATCATCACCATGATGGTGATGTTGATGATGATGAAGATGATCATTATCATCAGGCTTTAGTCTTCCTCTTTTATGCTGTTGATGATCATGATCATGATGATATTAATGATGATTATGATGATCATGTTGATCATAATGATGTTTATATACAAAATATAACATGAAATTTGCATAAAAAATATATACTTTAAGATGTATAAATGTTTATGCAGCCCAGATCACAAACCCATCCCCAACTATGTTTTATCAAACACGACCCCGGTCAAAAACCCCAGTCACTTACTACTGTATATATATAAAATAATAATATATACATATATATATATATATATATATATATATATATATATATGTGAAAAGTTCTGAGTTTGCTTCCCTCCATGCCCTTAGTAGTACTGCGCTCAACCTGTTCTCGACGCACACATATATATGTATACGTGTGTGTGTATATATATATATATATATATATATATATATATATATATATATATATATATATATATATGTGAAAAGTTCTGAGTTTGCTTCCCTCCATGCCCTTAGTAGTACTGCGCTCAACCTGTTCTCGACGCACACATATATATGTATACGTGTGTGTGTGTATATATATATATATATATATATATATATATATATATATATATATATATATATATATATATATATATATATATAGAGAGAGAGAGAGAGAGAGAGAGAGAGAGATAAAGAAAGAGAGATTAGATATAGATATATATGAAGACCAATGGAAAATTATTATCAATAAATACATTCTCAAAACTTTTATGTTAAGAACTTACAATGATGTGACATAAGGAGATATTCTTGATGGAACAACAGCAAGTCCTTGTTTTGAGCAATCCACAACAACAGTTGTAATACCTCTTATCCATGATGAATGACAAACACATTTATTTGGACAAGGATCAGCATAAACACAACAAAATAGAACTAGATATTGAGTAAGCCACATTAAATTTTATTTCAAAAAACTATTTATAAAATCTTCTAAGATCGCTTAAAGTTTGCATTAAAAAAAACAGAAAAAAAAAGAAAAAAAAAACTCAATAAATGTATAGAAAAAAAAAAAATTACAGTTGAAAAATTAAATTATAAAACTCATCAATATTATTGATTCTTTTATTCACACTAAATATATTTATAAACAACTGTCTGTTGATATTTTATGAAGAAGTCCTTTAACAAGTTCTAGTTTTCTTGCTTTAAACTAGATATAGTCCACTTTAATGTTTATAAATTGTCCAATTCTTCTTTTAAATAGAAAAAAATTGTATCAACAAAATATGAAAAACATTCGAATATCTGATGCAGATTTTTATGGTATTTATACAATTGCGATTTGCACAGCTATATCTTCTGTAGCTACACAGCATCTTCTTCTATGTCTTCATAAATAACTAGATTATCAGGTATACCAGTTTCTCCTTGATCTATTACAAGCTCTTCTTCAGCAAAACTTTCTGATGGTGAAGAGTCTCTTTTAGAATTTGATTTTGCATGAGTTAAGATATGACTTTTTAGGTTGGTAGATTGCGCGAAACATTTATTACATGAGTCAAAAGGACATACATAAGGCCTGTCACCTGTATGTATACGGACATGTGTTCGGAGATTAAAGTCTAGACTAAATCTTTTACCACAACCCTCAAATGTACACTAAAGAAAAAAATAAATGAATACATACAAAATTCAATTATGCACACATAAACAGACACACAAGGCTATTTTAAAATTTTCAAAAAAATCAAAAAAATCATTTATTTAAGTTTAGAGTGCATGTAAGTATACATTAAATATATGCAAATATATAATATATATATATATATATATATATATATATATATATATATATATATATATATATATATATATATATATATATATATATGTATGTATATATATATATATAAAAACACACCTTATACAGAAAGTTTAAACGCAATTGTTTTATTAAGAGTCAAGGTAAGTTTAGAGTGGCACAAAGAGAACACACGAGGCAGGGTCCAAGTTTTTTTTTTTTTTTTTTCAGCCGATTATTAAGAAAAAAACACAACTTTGAATAAAACAAAACACAAAATCTTTTCTAAAATTAAATAACAAACTCAAGCAATCAAAAAATTACTTAGAAAAAAGTGCAATAAAATTTAAACGCACCTACAACTTCGTTTAATTGAAATATATTAATACGGAATAACAACAACAACAACAACAACAACAACAACAACAACAACAACAACAACAACAAGATATTTATTTTCCTTTTTCAAAATTTACATATAATCATATAATAATAATAACATTATCTATAATGATACAAATAATATAATTATATTAAAATATAACTAATAAGAATAAATATAAATAATTATTTGAAAAGGAAGGTGTCACTAAACAGAATCTGATCAAAGGAGTGACACCAAATAATTATAACAATAATAATTAAAAATAATAATATTATCTATAATAATACAAATATTATGATGACATGAGTGTCATTCATAATCAAAATGAGTGACACTAATTAATTATAACAATTAGTATAATAATGAAGTAATTATAAAAATAATAAATATGAACCAAAAATCGCTAAGAAAATAAATAAAATAATAACGATAAAGCGATACAATAAACAACGATAACGATAAACAACGATAAGTTAAATAATAAGACAAAAAAATATGAAAACACTCAATAACAACAGCCAACAAAAATAAAAATAATAAGCAAAACAGAACAAATAAAAGACAAACCTTACACAAACGAAAAAGGCAAAACACAAAAACAACAAGATGAAACACAACAACAACAAAACGAAAAGCCAAACACAAACACTTCTACAAAAAAAAAAACTAAAAAATAAGGACAAACTTAGTTATTTTGCGAAATAAAGAAGAAAAAAAAAAGGTGTAGAAAATTTGGTAAAATAGAAAAACAGGAATTAACAATAAATATAATTAGCATAAATAATAACAAACTTTACCCAAACGAAAAGAGAAACACAATAACTACAAAACGAAATGCATACACAAAATGATAATATTTAACAAATATAATATTTAATAAATATAATTAATGGTAACATTAATTATTTTTCATAATTAAAATAAAATTAAAAAAATGATAATTACAACAAAGACTAGCTACAAAAATATCTTCTAAAACTTGATCTTTTCTTTCTTCTCTTTCGCTTTTTTGTTGGTTTCTTCTGTTTTTCTTTTTTTTTATCATTTTCTTTTCTTTTTTAATTTTTATCTTTTCTTTTAGTTAAATTTAGGTAAATAAAAATTCGAATTTTTTTTTTTTTTTCTCTATTCTTTTTAAGGTTTATATGACGTAAACTCTCTCCGTCTCTTTTTTATTTGGATTTTTTTCCACATTTTTTTTTTTAATTTATATGCATTATCTTTATCTTTCTGTTATAAAAACACGCCCGCCATCGTTGAAGACTCTCCAAGGATCTCATATGACCCCCATTGTTTTTAATACATGCATGTATTCACCTTGGCACAGATTCAATTAGGTTTTTAATCATCTTGATTGGTATTTCAAGCCACAGTTTGGTTCTTCTTTGAGCATTTCATGACTAGTTATTTGCTTTTTTGTTAGTTTTTTTTTTTTTTTTGTTAGTATTTTCAATTGGGTTAAAGTCAGTTGATCATGCTGGCCAAGGCATGAGCCGAACATTACTTTCAAGAAAAAAATCAGTGATTGAATGTGCTGTATGACATGGAGGATTGTCTTGTTGAAATTACTAATCTTGATCAGTCTGGAACAAATCGCAACTAGGGATAAGTGCATTTTTCAAAATCTCATGATATTTGTACTGGTTTAATCTTCTTTTGTATATTTTATGATAGCTAATGCCTGGGCTTGATACATATCTCTATATGCCAACAAAACCACAATCTTTTTGAATACCGATTAGTAGGTGTTCAAATATTTTTCTTTATTTTTGCAACAAACATATCTCTTTCTTTTTCTATTAATAATTTCAAAATTTGACTTATCGCTAAAGATAATCATTTTTCATTGTTCCACTAAATAATTTAAATCCTCTTTGCACCAGTTTTTTTTTGTCTTAGGCGATCAGTTACCGTCAACAAAAACTTTCTTACACCATGAAACGAATTTAGTTCTTTCTTGCATAATAACTTACTTATGTTTGACTAACTGTTTTGTCTACCAGCAAACTATTGATTTCTGCACTCAAAGCTGCTTTTGGGTTGTGTCTGCTTAACATGTATAGCATATTTTCAATGTGTGCTGTCAGCTTTTTTGGCCAAATAAAAGGTTTATCATTGACAGCAAATAAATAATTTTTTATTGTTGTACAAATGCTGAATTCAGAAATGTTCAAGTGTCTGCCAATTTCTCTATTGCTCATTTTCACGAAACAATTCTTTTACCTATGAAAATATGATATTTATGTTCAATGAGTTAAAATTGCTGAATTTTGAACCAAATTGTAGTTGCAATTTTTATTCAAAATAAAATAAGAATAGGGATTCATATGAAACTTCCTAACACTAACAGACTGTTAAGCAATAAAAATACAAAAGACTTCAATAAAAAATCTCTTAATATGTGAGAGTTACAAGTTTTTTAATCAAAGTGCTTAAACATTATTTCAAAAAATAAAATAAGCTAGTAGCTCTGTTAATTTTCTCATCACCCTCCACCTTCTGTATAACATCCTTACAATTTTTTCAATATATCAATATATCGGATTATCATTTCCTAAAAGTATTATACACTTTAAAAAAAAAAGTGGGTTTAAACTATATATATATATATATATATATATATATATATATATATATATATATATATATATATATATATATATATATATATATATATATATATATATATATATATATATATATATATATATATATATATATACATATATATATATATATATATATATATATATATATATATATATATATATATATATATATATATATATATATATATATATATATATATATATATATATATATATATATATGTATATATATGGTCAATTCCACAAAATCAGGACATTATGAGTAAAAAGTTAACTAATAGTTTGGGTCTTATTGGTTTTCTTTTTCGATTTCTATGGTATTTAACTAATGTTATATAGAATATCATAATAACATAAGACTTGCAAACAATTAATTATAACTGTAACAATAAATTATATTGCATTTGTATCTGAAATGTGACGTGCGTGATAGATAAAAATGTGACGTGCGTGAAGTACACAATTTTGGAAAATGTATAACCACTTTCATGTACTACACATTCTGGTGTCTTTTTCAACATTTTCCGTTTTGTTATAGATTCAAGTATATTGCGTTTAAAAATGACACAGATAGTGTTAATAACAGCTCAGGAAAATAGTGTTTTTTGATGATGAAATATGACTTGTCCATGTATAAATTAAATGTTTTACATACTTAAAATTAAGAATTTATGTTTTTATGTTGTAAAACTCATGTTTGGCAACAGATTTATGCATCTAATAGTGATCTATATTTTTTTATTATAAAATTTGAGCTTATTTACATCTGAAAAGTGACGTGCATGATGTATGGAACTGACCATATATATATATATATATATACATATATATATATATATATATATATATAAATATATATATATATATATATATATATATATATATATATATATATATATATATATATATATATATATATATATATATATATATATATATATACATACATATGTTTGAAGATATATATGTATATATATATATATATATATATATATATATATACATACATATGTTTGAAGATATATATATATATATATATATATATATATATATATATATATATATATATATATATCTATATATATATATCTATATATATATATTTATATATATATATATATATATATATATATATATATCTATATATATATATCTCTATATATATATATTTATATATATATATATATATATATATATATATATTATATATATATATATATATATATATATATATATATATATATATATATATATATATATATATATATATATATATATATATATATATATATATATATATATATATATATATATATATATATATATATATATATATATATATAAGGGTGAAATTATTTTTTTTTGAATTTTAAAACACATATCCTTTTTTTTTTCATTTGACTGTAAAAACTTAAATATTAAATATTGTTGAGATTGGATAACGATAACCTGGGCCTATTTGAAGTCAAAGTTTAAGTTAAAAGGTTAATATGGAGCTATAGGGACATTGTAGAGTTCAATATTTATATTCAGTAACAAAAACATATTTATAATATTTATTATGTATTTCTAGCAAAAGACACATTCATTAAATTTTTTTTTTCAAAGTTTGCTTTATACAATCAGGATATACATTTCTGTGCTCTTGTACGCAACGCGATAAAAAATTGCTTTTGCTTCCCTTCATAAGTGATCAAGCCATCAAGTCTTACATATATATAAGCGCTTATTCTGCACAAATTGTCAACTGCTCTCAGAGTCAAAAGCTTCTCTTTAGCTTGTTAGAACAAATGATTTGACCATAAAGAAGGGCTCTTTTTCAGAAAACAATCATGAATTTTGAGTTGATTAATTATAAACTTGCTTTTGACGGAGACGTAGTCATCAATATTTTTCTTTAAAATTAAAACAGAAGGAATGGTTATCAATCATATAGTAAACTATATAAGAAAATTGAAACATAATTTACATATAAGACATACCAAAAAGTAGGCCAAAAAATTCTTCTTTAAATGCAATGTAACATTTATAATGGGCTGATTGGTTTTCTTTAGCTAAGTTAGCAACCATTTTTACTTTAGTTATTTAATTATCATTGTCAAATAAAAACAAAACAGATACTTTATCTGTCAAATAATCGGCTTCCAGTTGCTATGCTTGGTGCATAGCCACTGGAAGCCAAATCTTAAATTTCTTCTCTGTATCTTCACCAAAAAATATTAATGAAAGCTTAATATTAACTCACGATTTCTAGACAGTCATTTCTAGACTACTTCTTGAGTCAATTCAAATTAGTAGAATTCTAGCAGTATATCAATTTCTGAAACATTTTAACAAAGTTTTCTGTACAAACTTGTACTTTTTTGGAATCAACATTTTTCCAGTTTTCTCAGATCTTTTTAAACAACAGAATGGCTGGGCTAGTAGTTACTTGGCTGATTTTTACTTCAAACACATATTTATAATAGTTTGTAAATGTGATGACGGCAAGCAAAAATAAGCATTTCTCTATCCAATTTTTGTTCAAGAATCACACATACACCATTAACACAGCTTTTATTTGAAGCAGTAATATCACAACAGAGAATCTGAACTCTTTCCTCAAGATTCCAGATAATAACAGCACTCCAAAATGCCTTCATTTGTTTGTTTCCTAATGAGCTGTCTAATTTTGGAACAGCAATAAGTTGTTCATTATCATCATATGAAATCACAAGGCATTCTTCTATAGATTTACATGAATTTTGAGCCGTGTGACAGTTACTGTATCAAGGATATTGTTCTGAAAATTAACTTAAATAGCTTAAGCCCACTCATTTCGCATTTCTGTAGAAATTCTAAGAATTTAGGACTTGTTTATAGAAAAATCATCTGTGTTATGCCCTAGCGCGTCAATAGAAGCTTCAATTATAAATACAGAACCTCATTTTCTACCCCTCATCTTCTAGGATTAACTCTTCCAATTTTTTTTGGAAACCATATATAATACCCATCGCAAAATTAGCATCTGCTAAGGTTGCATATCTTGTGCTTGACACTCTCTTACTCCGGATTCCATACTTTATCCCTATAAATCTCAAATCTGTCCTTGTATGGAACACCGTTGCCATATCTTGGGCCGATCTTCCAATGATGCCCTTTCTCTTTTAGACTAAAACACATTGAAATCATAGTTAGACATGCTCTTTCAGCCAACCATTATCACATCGTTGTATTGTTACTTCTCTTTCTCTTTTCTACAAATACTATAACGGACACTGCTCTAAAGAGTAACCGTCTCTTGTGCCTTCTACTAAAATTTATTCTCATGTTACTCATCATTCAATTAAGTCTCATCTTTTTTCTGTGACTATTCCTAAGTGCTCCAAAAACTCTTGTTCTTCTAGCTCTTTTCGTCGAACATCTGTTTGGAAGTCACTTCCTTCTTCTTGCTTTCCTGATTCATATAATTTGCAATCTTTTATGTTGTCTATCATTCGTTAACTTACTCTATAAACTTCATCATCTTCAGTAACATCTAATTCTAATAGTGGTTGCTTGGAGCTTTGTTGAAAGCGAAGATGTTGAAAAAAATATATATACATATATATATATATATACATATATATATATATATATATATATATATATATATATATATATATATATATATATATATATATATATATATATATATATATATATATATATATATATATATATATATATATATATATATATATATATATTTATATATTTATATATTTATATATATATATATATATATATATATTTATATATATATATATATTTATATTTATATTTATATATATATATATATATATATACATACATATATATATATATATATATATATTTATATATTTATATATATATATATATATATATATATATATATTTATATATATATATATATTTATATTTATATTTATATATATATATATATATACATACATATATATATATATATATATATATTATATATATATATATATATATATATATATATATATATATATATATATATATATATATATATATATATATATATATATATATATATATATACAGTATTGGACAAAACATTTGCAACTAACATCGAACAATGCTAAAAAGTGTTCTTAATTTTACATGTCTTCAAAAGGAAACGAACTATACTATCACAGAAAACAGTTCAAGAGTCTGGAGTCAAAGCATGCCATGACATGAGCAGTCAGCTTTTGAAAAAATGCAGCTTTTTATATAAAGAAACTAAATTAGCATTATTTGGTTGCACTTGTTTTGTCCGATACTGTATATATATATATATATATATATATATATATATATATATATATATATATATATATATATATATATATATATATATATATATATATATATATATATATATATATATATATATACTACATTTCCATTATAGCCTAACAAAAGTGTTCTCCAGAACTTTCCTCAATCTATACTGAATAAGTATAAAAACTATTTTAAATATTTTAAGTATATTATAAAAATATTTTTTAAATCCTTAAAAATTTTATCTTTTCTTTTTCAGTTTTTCAGTTCCAACTCTAATAGCGGTTGCTTAATGTCTTCGTAGAAATGAAAATTTTTATCACAAAAAAAAAAAAAAAAGGGCTAATACAAGGTTCCAAGATTTAAAAACAGGACTCTACCAACATTTAAAAATTCTAGAAAGCAGGTAATACCAACGGGTAATAAACAAATTTTCTGTATATAAAAGTTTTATTAGTATCATTTCTTTTAACATTAAATTTTTTATCATTTACAACATATCAAATCATTTCTTATTAAATCATTTATCATTTTGATTAAATCATTTCTTAATATTGTTAACTGCAGTATTTAAGTCATTCTTGAAGGCCTACACTCTTCTTTATTTCCAGTGACTTTAGGAGTACCGCAAGGTTCTATCTTTGCTTATGTATTGTTTCTTATCTACAATAACAATCTTCCAAACAATTTGACATCTAAAGTGGCTCTAAACTTTATACTCATGTCTTCAATTTTTAATTGCTTAGAATAGGCTGCTAATCTCTCTTCTATAACAGCTTGGGGCATGCAGTGGCTTGTGTTGACATTATAATGTAGACAAATAACAACCCTCTCAACTCTCAGGCAAAGTCCAATAGCACATTGTAAATTTTGCTGGACCTGCTTTATTTGCCAAGCTTGAGAACTCTTCCATTGTTGAAAGGTTGCATCTATTGTTTTTTCACAGTCGCTGCTCAAATGAGCTATCTTTCTCTTTAACCCTATCCTTTGTTTTCTAATAATTCATAAATTAATTATGACTGCTTGCAACTTTGTCGGAGTTAAATTAGTTTAAAAGTATATACTATTTTTAAAATATCAAGAAATTTCTCTTAATACTAATAATTTCATTATTTCAGAAATTTTTGCTGGGATCTAGATACCAGCATCATCAGCTTATTAAATGTATTTACTTACTTTCAGCATAACTTTTATTGGTTGATTTTTAAATTAATGCACTTTTTTTTAATGATTTCAACTAATGTGCCTGTTTTTGGTCAATTAAAAGCAACATTTCAAGAAATTCTTGAAATGAAGGCTTAAAAACAGTTTCAAATAAAAATAAATTTAAAATAAATAAGTTTCGAATAAAAGTTTATTTAAAATTAAAACTTTTATCAAAAATTAAATAATGTATAACTGCTTTACAGTTTTTGCTTACAATAAAAATAACAAACAAAAACAACAAAAATAACAACAACAACAAAAATAACAACAACAACAAACAACCTGAAATGGTTTTTCACCAGTATGGACAAGCTGATGCCTTTTTAATTTTGAACTTTCTGTAAACGCCTAAAGAAAAATATAAAAAAAAAGTCAAATATTTAAAAAAAAAAGTTACTTAATAATGAGTGCCCCTCGTGCGTTTTTACATAGAGCTGAAGGCAGCCATTAAACCCAAGGTAATGGCAAAAACGATTCTCTCAGCACATTTTTATAAGAAACTATAACAAATATTATATACAGATATGTAAATATAGATGTAATAACAATATCTCATTTAAAATTAGGCAAATGTAAAAAATCCATTTGTACAGCGTTATGTACAAATTTCTGTAGGTGTAAATGTCTTTAGCATAAGTTGAATTTGAGAGTGGTATATGGAACAATTGTGTAAAATGTATATTATAAGAAACTTTTTAAAAATTTTCTAACAGTTATAAGATTATTTTGCATTAACTATTATGGTTTATATTAAAAATAGCGGCGAGATTGAAAAAACTAAAAATATATTTTGCTTAGGGGTGGGGTTTGAACCTAAAGAAACAATAGGATGTAGATTGTTAGGACAGCACAAACACTGAGCTATTGATGACATATGCATGCATGAAAAAAAAAACTGTTTTTTAAATCTTTTGTAGTAGAAAATAAAAAATAAAAAATAAAAACTGCAACTTATTTTAAGCGGGGTACTCTTAATAAGTGCAATTATATTGCATAACTATTATTCATATATGTTATGTTTGCATAAATTATTATTTCATAGACTATGCTATGTTATATGCTAATGTAAAAAATCCACTTATATAACATTATGTGCAGGATCGTGTATAATATTTATAAAATATAAGATATCTTTTAAAACTTTTCTAATAAGTAAAATTTCTTTTTTTTTGAACTACTTAAACTGTTTTGTTTTGAATTTTTGTATTTTTGTATTGTATTTAAAAAAATTAACAAGGTTGTTAAAAAGACTAATGGTAAATCAGCTAAATTAAAAGATTTAAAAATTAACAGACTTTTGTATTATGATATGTGCACCAACTCTTAAATTACTGAAAAACTGAAGATCTACTTCTATGTACAATTACGCACAGTTAAAGTCTGGCTTTAATTACAAACTTCATAGTGCCCTTATTTACCTCACAACCAGATCTGTAAATGCAACTTAATTTAATTCAACTCTTCTTTCAGCAAAAATGTTAGCACTGATGTTGGAAAAAGTTTTTTAACCTTAATAAACACTTCCAAATAAATCACAAAACTTCATACAGTTTTTATCAGAAACAAAATAAAAATTAGTTACAGCAATCATCTGATACATCTGATTTAAATGCACACAATCTTCACATTATAAACAACAACAAAATTTCACTTAAAACCAACTGAAACTGCTGTAATAAAAATACCTGCTATTTCTAACCATTTTTTCTTGATTAAAGAATAGATATGGCTGATGGCCGATAGACATGAAAGATTAAGTTCCATCACAGTGTTGTATTTTTTCATGTAATCTAATACTATATACATTGATCTATTTTGTAAATAATTTACATTATATTGATCACTCTTAAATAAACAAAAGGCTTTGTATATAAACTTGATACAATAAACACCAATATATAATATATATATATATATATATATATATATATATATATATATATATATATATATATATATATATATATATATATATATATATATATATATATATATATATATATATATATATATATATATGTGTGTGTGTGCCCCGGAAAAATGTAAGATTTAGCAGATGTTGATAGCTGGGGCTAGAAATAGATTTATAATTCTTTATATATTATAATTTTATACTTATATTTACAATTTATTAAATTCTGGCATATATTTATGCCAGTATTTAATAAATAGGGACAGATACAGTAAAAGGATGCAATTTGTTAAATAAGAAGCTAAGCAAGAATGAATTTTGGTAATAGAGAATTTTGGTAATAGCTTGAATTTTGGTAATAGCTTGCTTTTATATTGAGTTTCACTCAATATAAAAGCAAGCTTGATGTCACAAGAAGTTCCGCATAAAAAGTATAAAAATTCACTAACTTTAAATTAATAGTATTTTTTTTTCTATAAATGCTTTCATCTTTGAATATAAAAAATATAAAAAAACAATATTTCTTTGTTAAACGAAATAAAAATAAATATTGTTAAAGTATTTTAAATGATTTTGGATCACTTTTCTGTTTTTGGCGATTTTTACGGAAAACCTGTCTTGGGCCAACCAAGATTCGCTAACATAGCTACATGGTTGATGGTTGAAATTTGAATGTCTATTCTATCAGATTCCTACGTCATCCTGGTAATTTTTTTACTATAACTTAATTTTTAATGCATTTATACATTTAAATTTATCTCTTTTAAATGTAAAATTTAATTGATGGATGACATATGTTATTGAAATTTCGACCTTTTATGCAGATGAAAATATAAAAATTATTTTATGTACCTTTTGCTATGTTAGCGAATATGTTTTCAAACTTGGCATATTTAGCAACTTTTTCTAGCTTTTTGCGTAAATTTTTGTTTATGTTATTCAAGCAATGATGTAACACATTAAACTTTAAAACATTTTCTCTAATATTTTTTTGCGAATTTGTTTTATGACTTAATTATCTGTTTCAATTAACATAAAGTTTGAGTAATATTTTTTTTGTTTTTATAATAGTCTAATAAAGTTTATAACTTGTTAATAAATATTAGAAATATATATTTTCAATTTTTTTGTTGATAAAAAGTAACAACAAATTACTAAAGTTCAGCCAATTTCATCATTTCTCGCGTTTTTTCTAAACTAAAAGAAGTTTTTTTTACTAATATATTAAATGTCATATGATAAAACATTTTATTGTTGTTTTTATTCTTTTTACAAAACAAAATTATCTTTAATATTTCAAAAGTTATAAACATTTAAGTAAAACCCCTACATTAAAATTTTCAACAAAAAACACAAAGCCTTAACACTCACTCTGAAACAGCTGTGTTGACAACAGCTTGTTTGAGCATTGACCATGATTAGAGAAACAGCATAAAAGAGGTAGGCTAAAGCTTGCTGCTGATAATGATGATGATGATGATGATTATGATGATGATGATGATCATGATGATTATGATCATGATGATCATCATCATGATGAAAATAATCATGATGATAATGATGATGGCGATGATGATGATGATGATAATGATGGTGATGAATATGATGATGATCGTGATGATGATCATGATAATGATCATGATGATGATCATGATGATCATCATGATGACATTCATCATCATGATGAAAATAATGATGATGATGATAATGATGATGATAATGATGATGATAATGATGATGATGAATATGATGATGATGAATATGATGATGATGATCATGATGATGATCATGTTGATCATAATGATGTTTATAAATGCATATATATACAAAATCAAACATAAATTTTGAAAAAAAAATGTACTTAAAGGATGTATTAATGCTTATGCAGCCCTGGTCACAAACCCATCCCCAGCCCTGGCTATATTTTATCTGAACTGGCCCCAGTCAATTATCAATCGCGGTTGTTTACTACCTGCCTCGATGGTCTTTCGCTAGCTTTTTTGAGAAATTAAAATCAATGTTTTGAAGATAACTTTTGATATTTCCACTGAACTTTTGTTTTGTTCTTTTTTCATTCAAACAAATAGTAAAAAGATTTTTATAGGGATAAAAAGGCAAAAAAAATAGGGTTGCATTTCAGAAAAAATTTATACCATCCAAAAGTTTTTTCTTTATTATTTTTATTACTATTATTACACTATTATTTATTATTTTTTGATATAGAAAACTGTTTAAATACTAAGTAAGTTATTGGTTTTTATAATTTATTAATGGAATAAATAATTTAGCATCGGTTACATATTTTAAAATTAATATGTTCATAAAAATGGATAGTAAAAAGATTTTTATAGCGTTTTGTTTTAGCTCCAGCTATTTCTTTTTCCTAATTCTGTTTCTGATTCCTGTTTCTGATTCCTGATCCTGTTTCTGATTCTTTTTTCTTTGCTAAATACTCTAACTACTTTTGGTTTAATTTGCTTAGGTTTTTTACAGATAACATATCATTGCTTGGTTTACAATTTGCGGACGTTTTTTTCAGATAACATATCATTATTAGGTTTATAATTTGCTTACATTTTTTTCAGATAATCAGGCCTTGTGATAAAGCGTCGGGCGATGTGAATTTTACGTCGTCCAAGAGCGATTTTGCGTGTAGCTAGGGCTATTTGCGTCGAGCAAAAAAATTTTTGTTTGAGTATATTTAAAGATATTTTTGAGCGGAATTTTAATGAAGTAATTTACGATTATTTTAACATTTAATAAAGTATTTTAAAAACCACACGAAGTTGATATAAAAGTTTGAATTACAAAAAAATTAAATATGCTCATTATTTACAAGTAGAATAAATTAAGATAAAAAAAAAGTTTAAATCTTTTTAAGTTAACGTGCTCAAGAACAGCTGCTGAAAAATAGAACGTTAATAGTTTTTCGAATAATTTTTAATAATAAATAAAATGAAAAAAAATTTAATGAAAATAAATAAATAAAAAAATATTATAAAAAATCGCTAGTAAAAACATTAGCTATTGCACAGTTTTTAATCGTACAATATTAAAATTTCCAGTTTATAACTCGCTGACTTTTTAAAAAGAAAAAATAATTATTTGAAAAACTTTAAATTACATATTTGAGAAAAAAAAAATCAAATATTAGCATCTTTTATAATCTTTTTTAAATGTTTAGTTAAAATGTTTTTTATTCGTTTAGTATAGACAAAGCGAGTTAAACGTCGAGAAAATAAACAAATGTTTTTACATTTTAAAAAACGAAACATTCCAAAACATTTTTAAATAATAACATTTCTACATTAATGATTTAAAGTAGTTTTGCGGTAATTAAGTAAATTGGTGCAGTTAATGTCGATAAATATGAAAAGCAAATAAAAAAAATTTAATGACGTCAAAAATCACGTCGTGCTTATGCGCCGCGCAGTTTTTATTCATCACAAGCCCTGGATAACATATTATTAGGTTTATAATTTGTTTAAGTTTTTTTAAGATAACATATCAAAAAGGCAAATTCCTCTTTAGTTTTTATTAACTTTTTTCTCTAACCTAACAATTCTCTTTTTTTCTTATTTACTTCTCATATTATTTTTTATTTTATTTGAATTTATGATATTTGTAAAAAATGAGCATATTTTATGTATTTGTAATTTAAACTTTTATAACCATGATGTGCGGTTTTTAAATTGTTAACTACTTCATTAAAATACCATCAAAATAAACATTAATTACTTCATCAAGATAATCTATGATATCTATAGATATCAAAATATCTATTAAGTTATTAACAATTTTAATATTTTGTGTACTTTTTAATTTTTTAACTAAGAAGAATTTTATTATTTACTAAATTAAAAAATTTATATCAATTACAATTGATATTAATTTTTCAATTAACTTAAATTTACCAGATTGCAAAATTTCTGCAATCTGGTAAATTTAAGTCTTATGAAAAGAACTTTGTTATTTTATAAATTTAAAATTAATAAAATAACAAAGTTCTTTCATAAGACTTTATCAAAACTACTATGTTTTAAATATTATTTGTATAAAACTTTCTTTTTTAACTGACGAAGCACTTTTTCTTTATTCAACAAATTTTGATTTTAGAGCTTCTATAGAAAAATCAGACTACATGCACCTTTAAACTTTCCACCTTTATTTTAAACATTTGATTTGTTGATAAAAATCTTTAACAATGAAGTTTAACATACCTTCCCGCATTCAGCACAAACATGAACACGAGGACCATGAGTATGCAAATGTTTTCGCATTGCCGAATTATCTCTGAATAACTTTAAACAACCCTTTAAAAAAAATTTAATCAATATAACCAAAACTTAAAAGATTCAAAAAACAATTAATGTCAGTATCTAAACATTAAAAAAATAAATGAAAAATTTGAGTGCACAAAAAAAAAAAAAAAAAAAAAAACATTTATTTTGAGTACAAAAATATAAGTGTTTACGCTATGAGGACATGAAATGCTTTTAGGAACTTCTTCAGTAACTTTTTTTTGTTTTTTAGATTTTCTAGAAAAATAAAAGTGTATTTATATATATATATATATATATATATATATATATATATATATATATATATATATATATATATATATTTATGTATATATATATATATATATATATATATATATATATATATATATACATATATATATACATATATATATATATATATATATATACATATATATATATATATATATATATATATATATATATATATATATATATATATATATATATATATATATATATGTATATGTATATATATATATATATATATATATATATATATATATATATATATATATATATATATATATATTTATATATATATAGGTTTTATCCACACAACATGAAAATTATTGCTGGAAAGAAAAAAGCTTTTCATTATTTTATCTTTTTTATAAAATTTAATATAACTCAAAAAATCTTTTTTTTTTTTTTATCAGCATCAAATAATATATAATTATTATGTATTATTATTTATATATTATTAATTATAATTATTATATATTTATTATTATTTAAGCTTCAACAAGTTTTGTTTGCTCAACATGTTCTAAATGTAACTTAAGCATGTTATGAACATAATAATTCTTAAAACATTATCATTTTTACCTAGTTAACTCTGTCAACTGTTTTGGATCACTAAGATCAACATCTTTAGAAGGGGAACTATTTAAAGTAAAATCCACCTGATCTACAAATTTTTTATCTTCTTCACTTTGATTCTCATTGTTAGTCTCATTCCCATCTAAAAACATTTTTATTAAAATTTTAAAAACAAAATAAACAAAAACTTAAAAAAAAATTGTAAAAAATTTTTCTAATATCATCTTCTAAAACCATTTTGTAAAAATTTTCTCTAATATCATTAAACATATTTATGATAACAGGCTGAAATCATCTTCAAACACTGACCTTGATACAATACTGAAAAAAAATGTGGGAAAAAAGAAAATCTAAATATGAAGTCTATGAAGGCTCAACACTTTTAAATATTTTTATGAATATTTTTATTTAAGTTAAAAAGCATACTTTTACAACTAAAATTGAAAGTATATAAAAACAAATTGAAAACTGAAAGATGAATAAAGAAAGAATTGCTGACTGGTTATTCATTAAACACAAAAAATTTTATGGATTTGATGTAACAATTTAAAGTTTAAAGTTAATCCAATGCAACAAGCCAAAAGATGCTGCAATGTAGAAACTTCAATCTGATGCTAAATACAGAAATTTTAATGATATTTACATTACACATTAATGCTGCTGACAAAACTGGACTCACACAACAGTTATTAAGATGTTAAACTTTGTTTTTATTAAGATGTTAATAAGTTAAATATTTTGTACCAAATCATGTCTGGATTTGATTAATGATTGGGAAAGGAGCTAAAAATTAATTAATGATTGGAAAAGGAGCTAAAAATTGATTAATGATTGGAAAAGGAGCTAAAGTTCAATTAATGATTGGAAAAGGAGCTTTAACCCTAACCCTAAAATTTGATTAATGATTGAAAATAGAGCTAAAATTTGATTGATTGTAAATATCTTGAATGTTGTAGTCAAGATTTTTTTTCTTTCTTAACATCTTCACTTCCAACAAGGCTGCAAGCAACCACTATAAAAGTTGGAAGTTACTGGAAGAGAAAAGACTAAATCTGTAGAGCAAGATAACGATTGACTGATGACTTAAAAGATTGCAAATTATATGAATCAGGAAAGCAAGATGAAGGAAGCGAATTCCAAAGAACTGATGTTCGAGGAAAAAAACTAGAAGAATAAGAGTTTTTGAAGCACTTAGGAACAGTCACAGAAAAAGGATGAGACTTAATTGAATGGCGAGTAACACGAGAATGAATTTTAGTAGATGGCACAAGGGACGCTAGCTCTTTAGAGCAGTGCCCATTATAGTATTTGTAGAAAAGAGAAAGAGAAGCAACATTACGACGAAGTGACAAAGGTTGGAGATTGGCTGCCAGAGCAGGTCCAACTATGTTTACAATTCGTTTTTGCACCTTGTCTAAAAGAGAATGAGCATCATTAGAAGATCCGCCCCAGATGTGGCAACAGTATTCCATACAGGGACGGATTTGAGATTTATAGAGATAGAGAATAGAATCTGGAGTAAGAAAGTGTCAAGCTCGATAAAGAGATGCAACCTTAGCAGATGCTAATTTTGCAATGGATTTGATATACGGTTTAAAAGAAAGATCAGAAGTAAGAGTTAATCCTAGAAGATGAATGGTAGATGACTCATCTAGTACATTACCATTCATAAATATAGGAAGATCTAAATTATTACGATAACGATTGGCCGAATAAAATTGAGTTTTATCTGAATTAAAGTTCACCAGCCACTGTGAGCCCCATGCTGTAGCAGAAGTGAGATCCTTTTCAAGCTCAGATACCCCCTCCAAGCAATCAGAGAGTGTAGGCTTCTTATCATGACAAGAGTAAATGGTAGTGTCGTCAGCGAATAATGCCACCTTAGATGTGAGAATATCTGGAAGATCGTTAATGTAAATTAAAAAGAGTATAGGGCCAAGGATTGAACCTTGAGGAACCCCTGAAGTTACAGGATGTGAAGAAGAGTGTTGTCCATCGAGGACAACTTTTATACTACGATTGGAAAGAAAGGACTCAATAATCTTAAAGACGTTACCAGCTACACCATAAGAAGAAAGCTTATGGAGAAGACCAGCATGCCAAACTTTATCAAAAGCTTTAGAAATGTCAAGTGCGATAGCCTTAACCTCTCCACCTCTATCTAATGCACGGTAAAACCTTTCGGTTATTACTGTTAGCACATCAGCTGTAGAACAAGAAGACCGAAATCCATATTGATGATCAGAAAGTAAGTTATTTGATTCAAGATGAGAGATTAAGTGTTTGTTGATTAAAGATTCAAAAACCTTGCTTATGACAGGAAGAAGACTAATGGGACGGTAGTTAGATGAATCAGATCGCTCTCCGGAATTTTTGAAAATAGGGATAACAGATGCTGCTTTCCAGCATGATGGAAAACAAGACTCTGATAAGCACTTGTTAAATAGTTTAGAAAGTATGGATGAAAGCTCCAGAGAACACCTCTGCAAGACTACAACAGGAATGTTGTCAGGACCACAAGCTGTTGAAGAGTCTAAGCAGGAAATTACTTTAGATACAGAAGCTGAAGTGATGCGAATGTCAAGCAAGGGATCAACCTGTTTGACGGCTATGTCAGGTAAAACGCAACTAGTGGAATCAAGAGATGATATTGATGAAAAGTTCTTAGCAAACAATTCAGCTTTGTCTTTAGGTGAGGTGACAAAGTCTGAACCATACAAGAGAGAAGGAATAACAGATTTGCCCTTATTATTGATACTGTTAAAGATTCTCCAGAAGTCTCGAGAGCCTAATTTTTGTGATGAGATACGAGATTTAATGACCTGGGAATAGCGAGTTTTGGCGTCAGACAAAACCTTTTTACAATGGTTTCTGGCGATAGTGAACAGATGTCTGTTTTCTGGAGAATTGTTTTGCTGATAGATATGGAAGTAACGGTTTCGATTAGAAATTGCTGCAGCGCAATGTGAGGAAAACCAAGGAGAAGAGTGAGGCTTGACCTGGAATCGTCGAGAGGGAATAAACAATTCCATGCCAGCCTGAATCCACGAAGTTATGTAAGAAGCACATTTGTCAGCAGGAAGACGAAAGATTTCTACCCAAGGGCCATCACGAAGAAAATCACGGAAAGAGTCCCAGTCAGCTTTAAGGTAGTTGTATGTGGTACAATGATAGGGGGATTCTGATGAAGTAGAAGAATTTGATAATAGTTTTAGAGAGATCAAACCGTGATCAGAAGTACCTAAGGGTGAATGTGGAGAAATTGAGCACTGACTAAGATCCAAAACAAGACATAAGTCGAGTAGAGAAGGTAAATGATTAGGGTTGTCTGGAAAACGAGTTGGAAAGTTGACTATTTGAGTTAGAAATTGAGAAAGGCAAAAGTTGAGGGCCTTAACGCCAGCAGAGTCACTGACACTAGAGCCAAGCCAATCGGTGTGATGGGCATTAAAGTCACCAACAACGACGATATTGGCTGATGGATAAAGAGAGAGGGCTTGGTCAATTTGATCAGAAATAACATCAAAAATAGTGCAATCTTGGGATGAAGGAGAGCGATATAGAACAAAGAGAAAGGCGCTAGAGTGAAGTTGTGCTAAACGAAAGCACATAAATGAATAGTCTGTAGATTCAAACCTAGTTTCACGACAAATGGGTGAGTTCTTACGAATGTAAATGCCCAGGCCAAGCATGTGATTATTGGAGTCTTTACGAATTAAAGGAAGATAACCATCAACACTAAGATCACAAGATGGGACAGCCGAACTCAAATTAGTCTCACAAAGAGCAAGTAGGTCTGGTGAACTTTGCAAGAGATAAGACTCAACAGAAGAAAAGTTACTTCGAGGACCACGAATATTAGTAAATGATAGGTTTAGAGAACTGGGTGATGACGATGGTTTTTTGTGTTTTTTAGTTTTAGGTACTTTAGTCATTTTAAATTTATAAAGAACTTGACTCAAGTATAGATAGTACTCAGTACACTATTTAACAACTAAGCAATAGCCTCATTACTATTAATAAACCCTAAGCCGTAACAAAGGGCTCCAAATGTGGCCTCTGCAATGCACACCAAAAGTACAAACAGGGACACCATCCATGCGCAACATGGCACTGTTAGTACTCTGATATTTTTCGGCTGTTGATGGAATCAGCCTCTCTGAGAGCTACCACAGAGTTCGGGAAACCTGACTACCAGCCGGCCTCAGAACCATAAAACTGAGTTTTAGAGCTGTACCCTCATTAGGAGATAATAGAATGAGTTGCCCAGTCATAAAAATAGAGACACAAGCAATACCCACGCATTGAGTCAAGAAGATCCAGCGTTCAACATCCTAAACTGGAAACAATGTATTAAAAATACATCTGCGCCAGCCTAATAGGTGAGGAAGGGGTGCGAGGCTGGTCAACAGATAGAATCTGTTTACCCCCTAAGTCTTTCCATAGGAGGCCTTCTACAAGACAGCAGCTGGATGCATGTAACATCTGCCCAAGATGAGTATTTTTATCGAGACACCATCTCTAGCCTTTACTCAACCAAGAGCCCCAAGGCAGGGGGTGTTTTAATTCGGAGTTAACTTCTCCTAGCCTTTGCCTAAAAAAGCGTATCCTACAAGGCAGCAGGACATGGAGCAGGTTGTACTGGGTTACATGTTACCAGTAGCAGGAAAACCTGACCTGACCTTATTTATATATATATATATATATATATATATATATATATATATATATATATATATATATATATATATATATATATATATATATATATATATATATATATATATACACACATACACATATATATATATATATATATATATATATATATATATATATATATATATATATATATATATATACATATACACGTATATATATATATATATATATATATATATATATGTATATTTAAGTTTATATATATATATATATATATATATATATATATATATATATATATATATATATATATATATATATATATATATATACATATATATATTTAAGTTTATATATATGTATATATATACAGTGGCTTTCATTAATTTAGACGCACTCATATTCGAGAATAGAAATTTTTAGTTTTTTAACGATAAAACAATGACGAAAAAAGATTTTGGTTAAGTTTTTTTTCTATTT